TTTAAAAAAGGCAAGTGAAGGTGACTGGGATGAAGAATTTGTTGTAAGGATTGGCTCATTCATTTCAAATGAGGGAACATTTGGTGGTGGTGGTGGTGGTGGTTATGTGCCGTGGAGTTGGTTCTGACTCATAGAGACCCTATACATGGTTTCCGAGGCTATAAATCTTTACAGGAGCAGAAAGCCTCATTTTTCTCCCTAAGAACAGCTGGTAGTTTCGAACTGCTGACCTTGAGGAAAGCAGCCTGACTCTTAACCACCACGCTACCAGAACTCCTTCGAGGGAACATTTATGTAACATTAAAGGCAAGTAGGAGTTGTACAGTAAGTTGACATTCCAGAGATGGCCTATATATTAGTCTATGTCACATCTTAGTATAATACTTAGAAATAAAAAAACATCAATTACTTTTAGACTATCACCAATTCCAAGAGGCAGATGAAAAAAATAAAATTCTAAAATCCACCACCATGGCTACCCACTCTCCTGTTGCTAAAATCCACAGGGGAGATGAAAGGGCAGGAAATTAGCTGTTCTTACCAGTGCTACATTGTCGTCTGTAATTGGGAATTCTAGACTCTTGAGAATATGTATCTTGCAAGCTCGGATGCTTGGAATGCTGAAAAATAGTACCACTACTTTCTTCCCCCTTTCTCGGAAATGAAGGCGGGCTCAAGTTATTTCCATCTGGTTTTTTTCTAGATGGGAATAAATGTGAAACTTCTACTTCATAAATACCGCCGGGTCTTCGTCTGAGACCATATCCTAAGTCCCCTTCTGTCATGTCACCATCTTCTGTTTCCCAGATTTGTACATCTGATTCACTCGATGACCTGACCACCTTGCTCATTAGCCAAATGCCAGCTTTATCATAAGGAAAAACACGTCACCTGTAAGTTAAGAAAGGCAGTAGTTAAAAATCATAAGTATAGGGGAGTTGGGTTTTTCAAGAAAAGCCGCTCTCAGTATTCTGCAGACACGGATCTCCCGGCACTGCATTCATACACAGACATGCCTTGCGGTCCAATTCAGAGCACAAAGCATTCCAAGTCCTTTAGATAAGAAAAGATCCTTACTTCAAAGGTTGCTGTGAGTTGTATAGAAACAGGAAAGGCTTTCATAGAATCCAATAATCTCCTGAGCAGGATACAACAGGCCCGTCTTTGCCAAGGAAACAAACACTTTTTTTTTTTTTTAACTTTTTATTGTGAATCAAGTGAAAGTTTATAGAGCCGATCATCAGTTTTACATTCAACAAACCAGACACTGTGCTTCACTACATGGTCACAATCCCCTCCATGTACCAACAGTTAACATTTATCTCTATTTACTTTATTGCATTCCTCCCTGTGTCTACTGCTACCTTCATCTTTCCTCTGCTAACCTCCCTCCTCTTGTAGAAGAATGAGTCAAAAATTATCCTCATTCTTGCTGTAGAATTCATTTAAATCAACTTTTAGAAAAGACAAACAAATCATTTTTACATACTCTTCTTGCTTTTCAATACATTTTGTCCATCTGTCAACAAGCTTTCATTTTCTCTAAGTAAACAATGTTTGGGGCTGAGTTGCAACCCATGAATGCACTGCTGTCTTTACTTCTTTCATCAGAGGTGAATCTTGGTCCTCAAAGGGCTGCTTTCAGGAGACCACACAGGTGAAAGCCAATGGAGCAAGATCAGGACTATAGGGAGGATACTTTCAACCCTCAAAATTAAGTTTCTGCAGAATGTCAACAGTGTGGGCAGAGGTGTGTGGATATGCACTGTCACGTAAGATCACAAGGCCCTGACTAGCAGTCCTCTGCGTTTAATTCAAAGTTGAGGATTCGACTTTTCAGTGACGTAACAAGGATTGCTGATTGTTGAACCATTTTTCTGATAGTGTCCCAAAACTGGCTCTTGAGAATCCCACAAAACTGTAAGCATCATTTTTCCAGCTGATGGTTGACTTTTGAACTTTTCTTGGTTGGTGATTGAGATGTTTCCAATTCCATACTCTGTCATTTACTCTCAGGCTCACAGTGATGAATGCATGTCTCATCATCAGTAACAATTTTTTTTTTAATGTTTTATTGTGAATTATGTGATAGTTTACATAGGAGAATATAAGCTTTACATTCATCTTATCATGTATCATTTCATTGCCATGGTTGCAATCCCCTCCATGCATCATCAATCAACCAAAGAGTATACCCTGCAAGCCTGCCCTCAATCATCAGCACACAGCCCCTCTCCATCTCTGGGTCTAAAGTCTCTAGTCGCTCCATCTCTCCACAGTATCATCTCTGCCTCCATCTCTGGCATATGGTCCCACACTCTGCTCTTCTCCCTTGATGGTCCTAGGGACTTTCGCTCCTGGACTGCAAAGTCAAGCATTCTCCTCCTTTTGCTACAAAACATCTACCTTTACATTTCCAACCCTCACAGTCAGTCCTGATAGCAATTATTCACTATTGTGCCACATGAGTATCATCCCCATCTCCTTTCATTGGCCCCGCCCAGTCCGTTTCTACTTGGAGAGGCTCTATGCACAACAGAATGAAACATCACCCAGTCCCGAGCCATCTTCACAATTATTGTTAGCTTTGAGCCCATTGCTGTTGCCATCTCTAGGGGGTCCTCCTCTTTTCTGTTGGCCCTTTCTTAGTCTGGAAGCTCCGCTGGAACCTGTCCACCATGGGTGTACACTGCTGGTATTTAAAATACTGGTGGCATAGCTTTCAGCATCATAGCAACATACAAGCCACCCCAGTACGCTAAACTGACAAATGAGTGGTTGTTTAAGTTAGTGGTTAAGTATGTACCATTTGGACCATTCAAGGACCCTAAGACCTAATCAGCTCTCAGTACATACTGATTATATACAGGGAGGAAGGAAGGAATAAACAAACAGAAATACTGGCCTGTAAGTCAGAAAAACAAGAGTCACCTCATGGAGGGTCAACGGAATAGAGGCAGACCTTCAACAACATGGATTGGCAAGTGGCAGCAGCAATGAGCTCAAGTGTAACAATTGTGAGGATGGCGCAGGACAAGGAAGTGTTTAGTTCTATTGTGCATATGGTCTCTATGAATCAGAACCAACTTCATGGCACCTAACAATGACAGCTTCTCAAGCTGAGTTACGCCACATCAAGAAATGAAGGCCCTGAAAGCTTTGTTCCATCCATGTCATTAAGGTTGACTCTACTTTGAGCAGGCAGCTCTTCTCCAGTTGTATTTTGAGTCGCTTTCATCCTGAGGGACTCATCTTCTGGGACTATATCAAACAATGTTCCACCAACCTTCATAAGGTTTTCACTGGCCAACTTTTCAGATCACCTTCTTCCTAGATCCTTCTTCCTGGTCTGTCTTAGTCTGGAGGCTCCGCTGAAACATGTCCACCATGGGTGACCCTGCTTGTATTTGAAATCCTGGTGGCATCACTTCCAACCTGGATGCTACTACAGAAGGACAACCTGACATATGAGTGGTGGTTTAAATCTTAGTCACCAAAAGAAATCTTTCTCATCCTGCGCACTGCCAATCTCTCCCTCAGACAGTAAGGAAAGACTGCAGGGTTTAATCAGAAATAGGGGAGGGGGACTGAATAATTTGCTAATTTTACAAAGTTGGGAAGCTAATTAAAAAACAATTTAGCTAAAAAAAAAAAAAGAGTCACTTTAGCACAGGCTCCACAATTGGTACAGTGGGGTCACTGCCTGACCTTCTTTCCAGAAGAAAATGTCTCCTGGTAAAAATGCCCTGCAGGTACAAACCACCGTCTCTGAGCATTTCCCACTGTGGCCACCTACCTGGTGAAAGTGAGGCAGATGGGAGAACAGCAGGAAGTAGAGTGCAGCAAGGAGGGGTTTTTCACCACGCTGTTTCAAAACAGCACCTTTGCAGCCATTGTTTGGAAATGTTCCATCCTTTTTCAAGACTAATTTTTTTTTAAAGTAAAAATAAACACCCAAGATATTTCTTAAATACCCTTGCTATTCAGCAGTTGCTTACCAGGACTTGCAAAGAAATTAAATCTCACTCTTGAATATTTTACCGAGCTCTCTTACTCTTTTATTAGAACTACACATAGCTGCCAAAAAAGTCTAATTATGGGTCAGAACAGACTCGACAGCACTGAACAACCACATGAAAGAATTTCTGTGATTTAAAGTTGAGGAACCATATATTTTCATACATGTTTAAGAACAGATTTGAACAGATACTTCATAAAAGAATATAACACACAAATTTTCTGGAGTCACGGAGGCTGGATAAACTTCTCAAACTATTGTCCTGAGGTAATTTTTAAACTTTAAACCAAAAATATCTCCTGGGGTCCTCTTTAAACCAAACAGTAGAGTTTAGCTTCGGGAGTAAAAATGTGTGCCTCATGTTCTTTCAACGTTGGTGGTTGTTGTTTTTAAGTATTTATTAGTTGGTTTAAGTATTTATTAGTTTGGACTCATAGAGACCCTGTACATGGTTTCCAAGGAGTGGCTGGTGAGTTTGAACTGCTGACCGTGTGGTTCAAATCGACCTTGAGGTCCAGTGCTTTTTCCCAGAGCACCACAATAGCAAGTCAAAAGACCAGATAGGAACCCTAGGGGGCAGTGAGTTTATATGAATGGAAGAGGAACCACTTCGGAAAGAAGAGGGAGAATGGTTGCATAAGTCACAGAATGTAGTCATTGTCACTGAATTGTTCATGGAGAAACTGTTGGATTGGTGTGTTTGGCTGTATAAATCCTCAAAAACAAATACAAGTTTTAAAAAGAGACATGGATGGAAAGATGTTCAGCATCATTTAGTCACCAGGGAAAAGCAAACTGAAACCACTATGAGATCCCACTGGAGTCTTGGTGTGCCCTGTAGGATCAGCCCTAGATTGCTAACTACAAGGCCAATGATTCAAAACCACTGGGCACTTCTCAGACACCCTATACAGGATCACTGTAAGTCAGAACCGACTCAATGGCACTCAACAACAACAACATGAGATTCCACTACAAACCACTGGCAATTCCAAGTGTTCTGAAGCAGTGGAGTAATTGAAACTCTCACATTTTTATTATTGTTGTTAAGTGCCAATGAGTCAGTTCTGACTCACAGTGACCCTGTTTAGGGTTTCTGAGGAGCAGTTGGTGGGTTTGATGCATCGCCCTTGTAGTTCAAACTTTCAGAGTAACTGAAACTCTAACACTTTCAGAGAAGAGTATAAAATGGTGCAACTTTGGAAAGTAGTTTGTCAGTTTTTAATAAACATGTAACCCAGCATAATCTTTGGTATTTCCCCAAGAAAAATGAAGATATATGTCTATACAAAGACACGTGATGGATGTCCATAGCATTGTTTGTATTAGCTAAAAACTGGAAACAACCCAAATGTCAACAGGAAACAAATTGTAGTGCATCTAGTCAATAGAATATATTCAGCAATAAAAATTTCTGCTAAATGAAACATGGACAGATTTCACAAGTACTATATGCGACACTTCGCTATGAGTCAGAACCAACTTCATGGCACATAACCACCATCACTATATGAAACACTGAAGTCTTGGTGTGATGCTGTAGGTTAATGCACTAGACTGTGAGGTTGGTTTTCACCACCAGGTTAGTGGTTCACGCTTTCCTGCCACTCCTTGGAGACCCTATACAGGGTGCTGTGAATCCGAAGAGACTCAACAGCACTTAACATATGAGACATGGGAGTAGGCAAACTAATTTACAGTGAGAGAAAACAAAGGAATGGTTGTCTGGAGATTCTTAAGAATAGAAGGGAACTTTTGGGGATAATGAAAAAAAACTCATCAAATGGTATACTTAACATGGTACATTTTATAGTATATGACAACTTGATTTTA